TTGGACTTTTGGAGTAGTCTTGAGGTGTCATATGGACTCTTGGGGTAGTTTAAGACACACCGTGTAGTGTCTCCTTACACAGGAATGAAAGAATTTTAACAGTTATGTTATGATTTCATCTGATTTTTTATGACTTTATGTTTCCTTCACGAAGTTGAAAAAAAACCTTTTTTTTTAATCTTAGAACTTTAAAGATTGAAGAATTCCTTTATGCGTATTTAGCCAATATTAATAATTAGTTGTAAGTAAGATAACAAAGGGGAATTTTTGAATTTTTAAATTTAATTATCCAAAATAAAAGTTGACTGTTTGCACTAAGTATAAAGATATCACGGAAAGTGATACCATTTTGTCTTTAAACCGATTTACCCAAAGTTGTTTTTTTATTTATTGTTGTAAGCAGCTTTGACCTAAATCGTGATACACAAACGATTTGAACAAAAGTGAAAATATACCTTCATTATCACAGACAGCTTGTACAGAAATACTATGATAGCCTTTTCTGTTTACGAAGGAGGAGGCCTCATCGGTCCTTTGGTGCCTGGATCCTAACATGTGTGCCGTCAATGCAGCCGATTACATTCGTAAATCGGGCGACATCGAAAAAGTGTGAAGAAATTTTCTTTTTTTTGTCGTTATGTGGCCAGTGCACAAACTCATGGATGTGACTTATTAGTGCATCTGTGAAACTGTTAACCGCTCTTGACGGTCTCACCCCGGTACGGAATTAAACCCAGCCCAGAAAATAGTTCTTTGAAATTTTTAAGTGTCCTATTTTAAGTCATTTTTGATGTGACTGGTTACATTTTAGTGTATTTATTGTAACAGTGTACATTTAATGTCATTTCTGATGACTTTAAAAGTTGTTTTTTTTGTGTATTCTGCAGGATCTCATTTCTTGGTGGAAGGATTCGATAAGAACTACACGCTAGCATACATGACATTTGAAACTTTGATAATTTGACAGTGACTTAACAAATCAAGATATATTGTGAAATCTAGATGGCTAATATAGGACATTTCGGGCTTCGACTAACTTTTCTAGTGTTGATGTTTAAAGTTATGAAATACAGAATTCTTATGAGTTTAAAAGAAGTCCAGAATGAAGCTTTAAATGTGACAGATTTACTATGGAATAAAGAAGGACGAAAATTGAGTGGGCCGTGTCCAATATAAAATATGGTAAAATTGGATTCCATGAAAACTACCGATAATAATTGCATGAAAATTAGCATGCTTGTAGACTTGGTACATTAAAGTCAGCAACAAAGAGGATTATTGTCAGGTATGTGAATTTTTTATTTTATTAAAAAAATAATTTTGACATATTGAAATATGCCCAAAATGGCCTGGAGTTGTCTTCCCTTGATAAATAGTCGTCTTCAATTGTTTAGATCATCAGAAAAAAATAAAGAAACAATACCGGGCTATATCTACATGATCTATAAAATACAAATATCATTTTGTTGAAATTAAGCTATTATTTTTTTTTTTAAATATATAAATTAAATTTAAATTTTATTTCAGAATTGACCTGTTTTATTACTTTAAATTGCTTTATTCCCTAGGGCTAAGTTTGATAATAAATAGGTATGGATGAGGTAAAAGAAGTGTGCCGAAAGAAATTGAGCAGCAAAAGTGTCATACATGCAAATGGAGAATGTGTTTTTTGGACAGGATTTGTGAAGCTGCAAAGCTATGGACAGATTCGCTACAGAGATCCAAGAAACGTAGAGAGCCGTAGACATAGGACCTGAACAAGTCATCGTATTGCTCTAATGGTTTATTTCAGGGACTTTGATATTCAAGCAAGTCAACAAGCATTTCATTAATGCAACAATAAATTATGTATCAATATTCATCATCTCGTACTTGAGGCGTGCGGTATAAATAATTTAAGAAAAAAATGTTTTTCTCATTGTAGGTGCTATGGTCATTTTGATGCAGATTGAAATCTATTATCACATTGCCTAGTGCATTCATCATCATAGTGTTATTACAGGGGACTTGTTAATTTGAAGCATTTTTTATATCTTTTTCAGATAATTGACCTGCTGTTAGGGACCATGTGGATAACTTTTTCTGTTCTATTTCTCGCTGCTTAGTATACATGTTGTTGTTTTTTTTTAATTTAATTTTTTGTAACATTTGAGCTTTCCCGTTTCGACCGGCAAATCAGGTCATTATCTGACATTCTGGCATGAATGTGACGGGGCCCATCCTTGCTTTTATTTCACTTGGATTTGCACCGTCAAGGCAGCGCTTCAGAGAAACGCTACAATGTTGAAGGCCCTGCCTCGACAAGCTGTCCCTTTTTGTATTCTTCAGTATTCGGACCTGTACTTCTAGCAAGATAGTACATGTGCTCCAATTTGGATCGCCTTTGTCTTCTCTTTTTCTTAAATTGCAGTGTTCTTTGGTAGATTTTATGCCTTTGTAGCCTTTTTGAAGCTGATTTCAGATATCTGCCAGCTCTTGGTGACAGAGTATGACCCGCTAGGCTGCTGACCTTTTCTGAACAGAATCCTGCAGTGAATTATTTATCTGCAGTGTTTTTGAGGCAAGACTGCCGGCAAAGTTTCTTGTCAAGTTTATTTCTTAAGGCAAGGTTGATAACACTGCTCTATTGAATCCTTCAAATGTCTGTGTGGAGAAATTATTTGTTACACTTTGGACAGCGTATTCACTCAGACGTATCCATAGAAAAGCCAACAAAAGATTATGAATACCATGTGTTGGTAGATAGGAAGAGTTATACCACCAGTCCACAACTTCCCCTATGCCAGAGCAAACTAGCGAGTCATCGGGACAGAAGTTACAGTTTCCAGCGTAACACTCCAATGTGGCTCTACGGTATTAAGATTTCCTTTGACACCATTTTCTTTTAATCGCAGCTTTTTAATAATGGCGCCGCATCTAGCTAAATTCTTTGCGAAAAATACAGTAGCTTGCTGTTTTGCTTTGCTAGATAGTCTCTTTCCTTGAAACAATGTTGTGATCCAATTTGAAGCTCGGGCCCTTCTAATTTGGCGACTGCCTAGATGATGAGGGGCTGCTTGACGGGCAACCTTCCATGCGCTTCCTAGTTTGTTGTAGAAGTTAGACATTCCAAGGTGGGCTTTTTCATCGCCATCTGTTGTCAGGGTTCGAACCAATATGCTTTCCTTTGTCATATGCCATTTGCCTTTCAGAATGACGCTGCATGTATGGCATCTCTGCTGTACAATCAAAATGGCCAGGGCAACTGACTTCGAATCTTGGTTTCGCATATATGCACCAGTCCAGCAAAGCGTATTGTGCACTGTTAGTCCAACTACATAGTTAAAGCTGGTTATGATTTTCAATGGCAACACCATAAGCCTACGAAGCAGCCTGCCCAGGCTTGTATGATGAAACCATTCTGGTAGCATTGTAACGGCTATCAAAGGACAAGTCAAGATGGTTTGGATGGGGTCTTGATTTTTCTTGTTATCTTGGCTAACAAGTTTCCTTTTCTCCTCCATATCTTCATTGTTGAGCTTTTATTTTAATAGAAGTCCAGAATGAAGCTTTTAATGTGACAGATTTAATATAGAATAAAGAAGGACGAAATTGTCTGAGCCGTGTCCTGACACAGTACTTTTACTAAATCCGCAGGTATCCCCAATGACTTCATACATGGAATCAGATGCAAACAACTTAATGCTAACAAAACTTGATTTCTTGGTGAAATGGCATGGTTTCTCTTAGTACTTCTTAGTAATTAGTTCATTTTCTAGTAAATTTACAATATGATTAACACCTTCATTACTAAATCTGTACCTGCGTATCATTTCACTGTCAGTCATTTCACGTAGATGCGAGATATAACTCTTCTTATAGAAACTAATATAAAAGTAGCCATCTTTTATTCCTCTGTTAAATTTTTAACGGAGGTTCAAACCTCGATTAAATTGACAGACAGATTCAGCTGTTTAAGTGGCAGTTAAAGTGAACTTTAATTTTGAGCAACAGAATTTAACACAAAGGTTAACTTTAACCGTCTGTTAATGCATTTATTACAAAAAATAAAATAGAAAAATAATTCTGATTTTTGTTATAATAAAACTAAAAATCAGATTTGTTTCTATTTTTCTTTTTTAATATATGCATATTATATTTAAATAACATATTTTAGGTCTATCATCTTTGATACTATGCGTAACTAGGCAGAAAATATTCAATAATACCGCGGGCCTCATCTATAGACTTTTCTATAAATATTGCGAAAACTTTAAAAAAGTGTGTGTGGGGGGGGTCTTTTTATTATTAAGGAAGTTTAACATATATCCTAAATATTTTATCAATTATTAGTCATTATCAATATAATAGTCAAATCTCTTTAAAAAAAAACTATAACCAAATTCAAGTCAAACTAAAAAAGAAAAAATAGTATGATGTCACTTTAATAACTAGTTTTACCAAAAAAAAAGGAAAAAAGAGATCCCGTTGTAGTGTATAAAGGCGCTATGATAGGGTTACATAATCATATAAAGCAGAATGGAATACAGCATTATAGAATTTATCAAAACTTTGCATGATCTTAGAATAATATTGTGATAACAGAAGCATTTTAAGCAATAAAATTCTGGTGCACCGACCTCGTTTCGAGTTATCTTTCCTCTTGCTTTTGAAGGTTCGATAATGATTATAAACAATCAAGGGTATCAATTGCTTATGTTATCAGCATATCTGACTTCTTTCTGAGTATTCCTGTAAAATTTCCAGAAAATGTAACAAGTAGTTTGTGTATTTGTTTTCGTTATTGAAAGATATGCAATTAAAAATGGCCTATTCTTAAAGATTTTGCGATTCTCCGTACATAAAATGAATAAAAGAAACAGAAGTGTATTAGAATTCTATCAAATTTTGTATTCTAGACTTAACAAATAATAAAATGGAGAAAAAATAAACATAAACCAATAGTAAAATAATAATATAGAATTAATGTTTCAGTAATCACCTAAAACAATCAAAGCACTGAAAGTACTGGAGGGTCGCTTGCGCTGACAAATTTATATGGCATTATATTGCTGGTGATCACCTGAAAGGCAAAAGCATGTTCTTTAGCAACTTTTTTGAAAAAGGTCATGTCATATTCAAGTGGAAATGATTGAATACAAAGGAAAGAGCAATATTTTATTTAATTTAATTCAGGAAGATTTATCATTGGCATCCAACAATTACAACACGGTTTATCAAAAGTACTAAAAACCAGTATTTTTTCTCAAGTGGCTCAGTTGAGATCGAAAAACCAAACTGCTTTATATCCTCAAAATAATACTTTGAAAGTTGAATAAATTTTAAGAGTACACTACTGACAGAAGCAGAAGCTGGAAGTAGATAACCAAGTCCTCTATTAACAATGACTTAGCATTGATAATTTCATCTACTTATAAAGCATATGAAAAACATGCTCATTCTTGGGGATTATAGTTATTATCAATCTGATATTCAAGTTATCAAGTCCAAACAACTCGATAAGAAAATGGTTGAAAAATCTTTCTGTTTATATGCATACTAGTAATAAGTGTTCCATCAGGGATAAACTTTCAGTGATTGTGAATACATGACTTATCAATGTCACAATTTCATCCAGAGAGATTCATGAAATTCTCACAAACAATAAGTCAAGTATGGTCAGTTAAAACTAGAACTATCTCTAAATGTGATTAATACCCCCATAAAACAGCTTTGGACATTAGGATGTAACAGAATACCTTGTAAAAGAATTGAAATAGAGTTATGTTTGTGGGCATTTAAAGATAGTAAGTTGTGGTTCCTGTATGTTGCATTTCCTTTCAATGTGGTTGACCATTGATGAAGTTTTATTGAATAACTCTGTAATAAGTCAAGAAAGACAAGGAAAAGGATCAAAGGGCAATAACTCTATAAATACTGCAGATGGAGTAATGGTAATTGTACACTGCACTTTCTCTCATTCGCTTGACCATTGTATGAAGTTGAATTGAATTCCAAATACTAGTTTTCAAGTGATGCACTGGACAAAAGTACCAAAGGGCACTTACTGTAGAGTCATTCCTGCAAAGTTTGGTTACTGTGCAGTCTTTGGTTTCTGAGGAGATTTGTTTAAAGAAATTTTTAACGACCCACGACAACTGATGGAGGAGGATCACAATAGTTCACCATGAGCACGTTGTGCTCAGGTGAGCTAAAAAATAATGATCAAAATACAAGTTCGTGGATAACCTCGGCAATGCCAACATGACTGTTACCATACCTCTATTTTTTAAAAAGAAAAAGTCGAGCTAAACAGGGGCATAACTGCATCAAAAATAATTTATTGTGGCCAAAATTGAACGAAAATCTGTCTTTTGATACTAACATGGCAAATATCAAAACACTTCATTCCTTCATAAGTTGTCCTGCAGAAATCAATTGAACACCATAACTTATAACATGCTTTTCAGTAAAAACAAGGGTGCCATAGTCACAAAATACGCCCGTTTACGAAAGCTTTAGATGGAGATGGGGGCATTATGGATAAGTGTTATCTAGCAAGCAAGTTTTTATCCTTGGCACTGTGTTGTTAAATGAACCTTAAAACAAATCAGTAGGGAAGATATGCACAGGATGTGTGACCTTGACCGTGGTCGCAGGGACCTGAATTTTATGCACGGCACTCAGCCTCACAATGATGAACATTTGTGCCAAATTATATTGAAATCCCTCTATGCATGTAGAAGTTTTGCTCCAGACAAGCGTTTTGCTATGAGCTCTAACGGTGACCTTCACCTCTGACCTAGAGACTTGGTTCATGTGCAGGGCACTACGTCTCATGGTGGTGAACAATTCTATAAAGTAACATTAAAATTCCTCCATGCATGTAGAAAATATGCTCCGGACAACATCTGGATATTTTATCATCTCCAGTGACCTTGACCTTGCAAATATTAACCTAAATTAAATGTGTCACACCTGTAGTCATAATAGTTACCATTTGTGCTACAATCCATCAATAAATGATAACTAAATGGTCCCTATACACATCTTCAAATTTTATCTGAACTTTGATCTCTATGTGTAACCTTGACTTTGGTCGCAGGGATCTGAATTTTGCGTGCGACACTCAGCCTCACAATGGTGAACATTTGTGCCAAGTTATATTGAAATCCCCCTATGAATGTAGAAGTTTTGCTCCAGACAAGCGTTTTTCAATGAGCTCTAAGTGTGACCTTGACCTTTGACCTGGAGACCTGGATCATGCATGGAGCAATACATATCATGGTGGTGAACATTTCCATAAAGTATTATAAAAATTCTTCCATACATGTAGGAGATATGCTCCAGACAAAATCTGGATATTTCACCATCTTTAGTGACCTTGACCTTGCATATATTGACCAAAAGTACATGTGTCATAGCCGTATTCATGATAATGACCATTTGTGTTACAATCCCACGATAAATGAAGATTAAATCGTCCCTATACACATCTTCATATTTTTATCTAAACTTTGACCTCTATGTGTGGCCTTGACCTTGGCTGAAGGGACCTGAATTTTGTGCGCGACACTCCGCCTCACAATGGTGTACATTTGTGCCAAGTTATATTGAAATCCCTCTATGCATGTGGAAGTTTTGCTCCGGACAAGCGTTTTTCAATGAGCTCTAAGTGTGACCTTGACCTTTGACCTAGAGACCTAGTTCATGTGCGTGACATGGCTTCTCATAATGGTGAACATTTCTATGAAATTTCATTAAAATCCCTCCATGCGTGTAAGAGATATGCTCCGGACAAAATCTGGATATTTCATCATCTTTAGTGACCTTGTATATATTGACCTAAATTATATGTATCACAGCCATAGTCTTGATAATGACCATTTGTGTTTCAATCCCTCAATAAATGATGACTAAATGGTCCATATACACATCTTCATATTTTTATCTGAACTTTGACCTCTATGTGTGACCTTGACCTTGGCCGCAAGGACCTGAATCTTGCGCGCGACACTCCGCCTCACAATGGTGAACATTTGTGCCAAGTAATATTGAAATCCCTCTATACATGTGGAAGTTTTGCTCCGGACAAGCATTTTTCAATGAGCTCTAAGTGTGACCTTGACCTTTGACCTAAAGACCTGGTTCATGTGCGCGACACTGCTCCTCATAATGGTGAACATTTCTATGAAGTTTCATTAAAATCCCTCCATACATGTAGGAGATATGCTCCGGACAAAATCTGGATATTTCATCATTTAGTGACCTTGACCTTGTATATATTGACCTAAATTATATGTATCACAGCCATAGTCTTGATAATGACCATTTGTGTTACAATCCCTCAATAAATGATGACTAAATGGTCCATATACACATCTTCATTTTTTTATCTGAACTTTGACCTCTATGTGTGACCTTGACCTTGGCTGTAAGGACCTGAATCTTGCGCGCGACACTTTGCCTCACAATGGTGAACATTTGTGCCAAGTAATATTGAAATCCCTCTATACATGTAGAAGTTTTGCTCCGGACAAGCATTTTTCAATGAGCTCTAAGTGTGACCTTGACCTTTGACCTAGTTCATGTGCGCAACACTGCTCCTCATAGTGGTGAAAATTTCTATGAAGTTTAATTAAAATCCCTCCATACATGTAGGAGATATGCTCCGGACAAAAATTGGACGTCGCCCGCCCGCCCGCCAGGGGCGTTCCCATAATACGTCCCGTTTTTCAAATGGGCGTATAAAAATGACATTACTTTTAAATTATTTCACAATAAAGTATTCAGTCAGTAAGTAGCCAGGCTTTATTTGAATGAGGATGAAAAGCCTATAAACAAACAGAAATTTTGTGGGAAATACATTTATTTCTCAGAAAAATGTGATAAATAAAGAGTAGATAATTAATATTTGCAAATCATGAAGGCAATTAAACAATTCAGGAAATAATACAGAATCACTTTCAAATATGAACATTGAAAATTATTTATTTTACACAGACAAAAAAATCTGCTCTCTTTGGCTTGTATGAGGGGCTATAAACCTCGAACATAATAAGGCGTCATATCTGAACTACTTTCAGTCACAGTAAAATAGCAGCCTCCATGGCAAAGTTATACTAATACATAATATATGTTTTTCAATGCCATTCATGAAAATATCTAATCTGCTGTTCACTCTATGAAATATATTTGGATCTTGCATGCAAAAGAAACAAATATCCATCATGTCCATTATTATTTATATATATGATATGTTCCAAATTTTTTCATGCTTACAAAAATTATATATCTATGTAAATTAGTTCATTTATAACAAGCAAAACTGTAATTTCATTGTTCTGACCAACAATCTGCAGTGTTTTTGTTAAACAGCCATACTCCAAGACTGACAAGTTTTCTTTGGCATTATATTATCCAAAATTAACAATATTGGGAAATAATGGAAAACAGAAATATTAACAAATACATGTATAAAATAAAACCAATGTATAATAATTCAATGTCCATTTATAGTTAAAACTGTGGAATTTAGCTATGTCAATGTCTGAAGGGATTCCAGTTCAATTAATCTTGTGTTCTCCCATAACTGAAGCTACAAATATCTGAAAATAAAATATATTTGTCATGTTGCAAGTTATTGTTAATGATATCTGGCACTGAATTTATTCCAAATCATAAAGACAATGTGCTCCATACATGCCATACTTAACAATTTACCAGTAAATCGAAGACATATTTCTTCTATAATTTTTTATCATATCTTTGCATGAATTATCATAGTTAGCTTACACCACTATGTAAAATGCTAGTTTCTGGTCACAAGAAAATCAAAAGCAATGGATGGTGTGATATTCAAACAAAATTAACTTTACAAATGCTGCTGAAAAACAAACAAGAATATTGTCAATTACTTTCAATTAAATGACAGGACAATTAATGCTGCTTTACAAGAATAGAACACCACTTCTGACTGCAAGCAGAACCATAGTGTATTCTGGTGTCAGGAAAATAATTATTATCGCTTATTTTTGTATCTCATGCTGAAGTTTCCTTTTGAATACAGGAATAACTCCTTCACATAGTTAGCTTCACTTCAATTAAGTTGTTCCAGAAATAATACATTGTCTACTGGGTACTTCAGACAGCTTCATTTGAACAGAGTGGGCAACTTCTAACTGCAAAGTGGGAGCAAGGTTTAGTAAAACAATTAAACAGCATAATTTGTTCAAATACAAGAAACTAGAAACAGGGCGTTCAAATACAAGAAACTAGAAACAGGGCATAATCTGTTAAAAAAATTGAAAATTTTAATGAGCATACATTTCATTTTTTTAATTTTCTAGTGTAACATGTTTACAATAATATATATTTTTTGAATGATTACTCTTCCTACAATGAATTAATGTATTTCTGGAAAGGAGACTTCTAATTTTAAATACTTTGTCATGATTTTGAATTAGTAAAGGTCTGCAATGATATCAGTCAAACATTAGAAAGTAAAAACCTTTGTACAACAATATTGGTGCAAGTTGAAAATTTGGAAAAACCCTAAAACTGTAATTCATTCATTAATCATTTTTCCACATAATCTAGTAGTAAAACATGATGATATTTGTCACAAAATCCTGGACTTCAGGCATATGCACCATGCAACAAGTGATTACAGTAAACATGTTTAAAAAGTTTGATGACTCTAATTAATTGCTAATGGATCAGTTATTACCACAAGATGACATACCTTAGAACCTTATGATATTAGGAATGACCTTTATTGACATGCAATCAACAACAGACCTAAATTTTTTATTGAAAAAATGACAAACCTGTATGATTTTTTTTCCTCTGCAGCAGAAACCCCTTCCTTACAGATAATTTCAAAGAATCTATAACTAGGATCCACATCATCATGAAGACTTCTAGGCTGGAACTCCATCACTTTTTGCTATAACAAACTGCCGGTTTGAGCTGTCTTGTCCTGTATACATGTATATAACTTGTCTGAACCTACTGTACCTTCACTGTTATCAAACAGTAACATGACAGAAGTCATCTAAAAAAAAAGCAAAACAAAATTTAATGTCTTATATTAAAGATCATGCACAAGTAATCAGTATTAAACAAGCAAGTTATATCATTTAACCACAATTGTTTCTGCATATATGATATCTGTGTTAAATATATATCAAATAATAACTTTAAAGTTCCATTAAGCCTTAGAAAAGATAAAAAGTTTATTTTTGAAACTTTCCTTTTACATATCTTGTTGCACCTCTCAAATAGTTACATGTACTCATTGGACATGTACATGTAGAGAAATTATCTATTATCTGGCAATTGGTATAATTACATTAATTTAGTATTCTGTATGGAAGTCAAAATAATACTTTGCTCACATTTTGCTACCTTTACAACACATGACTGTTTGTTCAGTGTTACTCTTTTCAGTTGTTAGACATTTGAAAGGCTCTAAATACATCATTAAAACATTATTGAACACATGTTTGACCTTTCTAAAGAATTACAAAATTATTTATCTCTGACACATTATATGTGCTTTTAAGATTTTCAATTTTTTTATCAGAGATTCTTTTACCTATACTCTTATTCTATAGATTAATTACTAAGAACAGAAAATAATGTAAAATGTACTATTTTTTTCAATTTTATTATTTAATAAAATACAAAAAGGAAAACTGTTTCTCTCTGTAACCAAAGAGAAATCATAAATATTGTAAACTTCAGACTCATACCCTTATTACTACCTTTAGCATTAATGGGCTCTGATGGCTGAATTCTAAGGTTGTTATAATTTATGTACTTTTACAGTCAAAATGAGGTAAATATTTTTCAAGGAATTCTTCTTATAAATATATATGCGGACACAAAACAAATAAATTTAACGATATGACAATAAGTTAAATTCAGTATTTGACCTTGATGGTCAGTCATCTCAAGGTCAATGTCATATATGAATTACTTAAAGGGACTCCACTGAGGCTTTTGACAAGACCGGATTGGAAATAATTTTTCAAGATTGATTATAATTTATATGATATTCTATTTGATGTAGATCTCAGCAAAAAACCTAAATGCAAAAATTTCAGATCATGCACTCACTCTGTTTTCCCAGAATGATTACCTGAACAGTATAAAATGTCCCAAAAATGAACAGTGTTGCCGAGCTTTTGATTCATACATGTATCGGGAAAAATAGAATAAGAATAGCACAAATATACAATTTTCAATGTATTTCTAAATATATTTCTTAACAGTATGTGCATATCATTCTGGACACAAGGAAAAAAACAACAGCATTTATTGCAAAAAAAACTGGTATACTGCTTTTTTACAGGAAATACTTCCATGAGGGTAATGTTGTTTTTAATTTTGACTACTAAGTCAAATATGTGTTTCAAAATTTTCCAGAGCTCAATAAAATAAATGTGGGTTTTTATTATAAACAAACATTTAAAGAGAACTTACACTGAACAATACTATCATAGTATGTCTTGACCATATCACATTAAAAACCTCACACAACAGTTTGTTATTTCACACACCTGAAATATAAGCATTTCTTATTTAACATTAATATGATTTTCATATCAACAATAAAGCATTCCCAACTTATAGTTATCTAAATCATTTGGCTTAAAGGGATACTCAGGCAAAATAATGGCAAAAATATAAAAATGATTTTCTGTACTCAAATCACCCTAAAATGACATTTCTTAAAGTCCCAACATGAATTTCTGTATAAATTCTATATATTTTGGGTTTGAAGTTTAAATATATCTATAAATGTTGAACGAAATTTTGACGCGAACAGAATCACCGAATAGTTTAAAAACAAGTCATGCGATTTGAACAAACCCTGGAAGTTACAATAACAAATATTGTGGATATTGTATGATTGAAACAAGAGGGCCATGATGGCCCTGAGGTCGCTCACCTGTATATAGGCCCCCCCCAACCCCCCCCCCCCAACATTGCAGGGTCAATTTAACCCAAGGGCTTTTATTTGCACAAACTTGGTAGACACCCATAAGAAGATGTTCATGCTAAACATCTAAGCTCTAGCTCATTGGGCTTTTTAAAAGAAGATTTTTTTTAAAGTTTTTACTATACACATATAGTTAAAAACAATGACACCCCTGGGGCCGGGCCAGTTTTGACCCCAGGGCTTTTATTTAAACAACTTTGTAAACACTCACTAGAAGATGTTTCATGCTTAATATCTAAACTCTAGCTATTTGGGTTTTTTCAAAGAAGATTTTAAGTTTTTGCTATAAACATATAAAGAAAATCAATGACCCCCGGGGCGGGGCCAATTTTGACCCAATGTCTTTTATTTGAACAAACTTTGTAGACACTCACTAAAAGATATTTCATGCTTAATATCTTAACTCTAGCTATTTGGGCTTTTTCAAAGAAGATTTTTTAAGTTTTTACTATATGCATGTAGGGAAAATCAATGACCCCCCGGGGCGGGGCCAATTTTGACCCCAGGGCTTTTATTTGAACAAACTTGGTAGACACCCATTAGAACATGTTTGATGCTCCTTATCTTAGCCATAGCTCTTTGAGTTCTTTAAAAGAAGATTTTTTAAGTTTTTACTATATGCATATAGGGAAAATCAATGACCCCCCGGGGCGGCGGGCCCAATTTTGACCCCAGGGCTTTTATTTGAACAAACTTGGTAGACACCCATTAGAACATGTTTCATGCTAAATATCTTAGCTCTAGCTCTTTGGGTTCTTTAAAAGAAGATTTTTAAAGTTTTTACTATATGCATATAGGGAAAATCAATGACCCCCCGGGGCGGGGCCAATTTTGACCCCAGGGCTTTTATTTGAACAAACTTGGTAGACACCTATTAGAACATGTTTGATGCTCAATATCTTAGCCATAGCTCTTTGAGTTCTTTAAAAGAAGATTTTTTAAGTTTTTACTATATGCATATAGGAAATCAATGACCCCCCGGGGCGGGGCCAATTTTGACCCCAGGGCTTTTATTTGAACAAACTTGGTAGACACCTATTAGAACATGTTTGATGCTCAATATCTTAGCCATAGCTCTTTGAGTTCTTTAAAAGAAGATTTTTTAAGTTTTTACTATATGCATATAGGGAAAATCAATGACCCCCCGGGGCGGGGCCAATTTTGACCCCAGGGCTTTTATTTGAACAAACTTGGTAGACACCCATTAGAACATGTTTCATGCTAAATATCTTAGCTCTAGCTCTTTGGGTTCTTTAAAAGAAGATTTTTAAAGTTTTTACTATATGCATATAGGGAAAATCAATGACCCCCCCCGGGGCGGGCCAATTTTGACCCAGGGCTTTTATTTGAACAAACTTGGTAGACACTCACTAGAAGATGTTTCATGCCAAATATCTAAGCTCTAGCTCTTATGGTTTATTAAAAGAAGATATTTAAAGTTTTTTCTTTCCGTTGCCATGGCAACCAGAGTTCTGCATGGAATTAAATTCTTTGAACAATTTTTAAAGGTGACCACCAAAGGAACATTCCTGTGAAGTTTGGATGAAATTGGCTTAGTGGTTTATGAGGAGATGTCATTTAAAGTAAAAGTTTACGGACGGACGAACGGACGGCGGACGGACAGACGCCGTACGAAAAGCAATCACAAAAGCTCACCCTGTCACTTTGTGACAGGTGAGCTAAAAAGTCTAAGTAATTGATTTGACATGTTTTTTAACGTTTCCAGAGTACAGAGTGACAACTATTGTGAAATTTTAGCGCTCTAACCTGACCCACGCGGGTCAAGTTAGGAAAACACCATTTTATTCTTTATATGGAGAAAAGTTTTGTTCCTTTGACTGTTTAGTGTTTTCATTTTGAGGACATTTACAGAATAATGAATGAAAATTTCAAAACTAAGAAATGAAAATTTTGCCTGTGTCTCCCTTTAATAGTCAAATCAGCTACATCATGTACATGTATATATACCAACTCAAAACAGGTCAATGCATCAAACTATTGGAATAAATCAAAAGCAAGTTAAATGTTGACCATAACCATTCAAACAACATCATTCATGTTTATAAAAATACAATGATTATTTGTGAAATTAATCAGTCAAATCCCAATTTAATTAAATCAATTTAATCATATATTTTTCTTATATCAACATTTTTTTCATATTATAATATTAGAAAATCCCCTAATCATCATGTAAATAAAGTTTTATATGATACACAGTCTAAGTACTATCGTCCGTTTTTGTATGCACTAGCATAGAGCAGAATGGGGAACCACGCACTTGTTTGTGGGAGAACACTTCTGGATCAGGAATTACCTTCTAAAAAAATCTAGTTGTAGAATCTTTCTTTAAATACAGGCAAATATGACTGAGTGACAATGCTTGAGCAAAATAAATAAAATCCAGCTGTTTGCATATGTGTTTATCCTTAGTGGTCTCTTTATTCGCTCATTTAAAGCTTAATACTGGTAATTATGTACATAAAGAGAAACAGAAATTCTAAAAAGAAAGTCCAAATAGCAATATTGAAAATGCTGCAGACTCAGTTTGATTGAGCCAGTTCATGGATAGTACTGGAAAGTGCATGCTGCTGTTCACACCCTGGCCCAATAGCACCAGGTTAAGCAGTATTCAACATTTAAACATGTAATGGTACAATTTTGAAATTAGAAACATTAGCAGGTGTATTTTTATGGCAGTGATCATGGAATCTTCAATTTGACATGTTAGTGCAATTCCATGAAAAGTGGCGTTTGATTCCCAAAGAATACAATGTGTGTTCCCTTAATGAAAAAAAGAATGGGGGAACTGAACAAAAAAGGATACTGTTCATCAAGATTCTGTGTATTTTCTTCTTTGTTTTTCAAAAACTTTGGTTTAGATTATTTCAATAATTACACTATAAAAACTGAATTTGGCAAAGTATTTGAACTCAGTTAGTGTCAGTGTGAGAACCTAAGCCTTAATGAATAATCAGACACCTCCTCTAGGACAGAATTACAACATGCATGTAAACAAAGTAGTTTTTTGACTTCCATACCAAATACTAAATCACTTTAACTATACAGGACTGATAGCTATCTGTTATCTATTAAATATAAAGGATATACAAAATAAATGCAAAAAAACTAAACAATAAATATTTTTCAGTCCAAATTTTAGGTGGGGCGAATCGTCACTAAATTGGGACGAATCGTCACATCGGCGAATCGTTACCCTGTTACCGACAAATTTTATAAACAAATCTTCAAAAATTTATCACACGGGTGGCTCAGTTTCATAAAGTCTTTCTTATTAAATCGAAAATGAATTTTAAAAATGTTAATTTTAGGTGGGGCGAATCGTCACGGTGACGAATCGTTACCCTGTTACCGACAAAAAATCTTCAAAAATATATCACACGGGTGGCTCTGTTTCATACAGTAGTTCCTATTTAATCGAGGAAACTTAAAATTACTAAAGAACTTACAATTTCTTCATGTCTGTATCAATTAAGGTGCACCATCAATTAACGAAATGACGGAAGTCGAATCAACTGACCTCAATGACCTGTCACGTGATTCGATCGCGCATTGATATTTTTTCTGTACACAGCACAAATTTACTGTAATTTTCGATATCATGATACATTTCAAAATGCATGGTAACCCTCCTGTAATGAATGAAGGTACGGATGTTTTAACTTGTTACCGACCATACAGAACTATTTACTACGTGCATGAAATTTCAGCCGAAATTCGGTTCGCCGTAAGCGTCAAATGTAGCTTATAACTTTGGGCCGCTCTGCGCAAGCGCAGCGACCAGGGGCGTAACTAGGCGTACTCCTGTACGCCCGTGCGTACAAATCAATCCTGTGTTCAAAAAAATCACATGCGCTAAAAGTTCTAAAAAAGTGATAAAAACATAGGGGGTAGTGTGGTCGGGGCACATACAGGCCTACTGACTCTTTCGACTTAATCATTATATAAATATTTCATAACATTTACAGTATAAATTAATATCTTTTAAAAATGATCTATATTGTGATATATTGTACAGATTCAACGGAGGAAAGTTATGAAAAGCTTAAGGTGTCTTGTTCAGAACCTATTCTTGGCCGAGATATTCCCCTAGCATTGGCTTGGTGGCCTGTTTAAAATTGCGCAACGTGCTTATTTGGCGCGCAGGTCGCCCGCAATTTTTCCCCAACTTTTTACTATTCCCGTATCGGCCCTTTTGTGTCCTCTTCTGCTTTTGGTTGGGTGCCTTCTGGGTGCCCTGCTTGTTTGGCTGGATTGTGTAGGGGGCTGAGTTCTGCCAACGTAGCCTTGAATGTTTTATTTTTAATTTCATCTTTTAAACACGTAACAAATTGGTGTAATTTCTCAATGGCATATTAATCAATTGATTGATAGAATTACTTTGCCGTGCCAAAAAGGGCAGACACATACAAAGAATGTACTCTTCCTTCTCAATTTTATGCAGTTATTTAAAAGAATAGTAATATTCTAAAATAAGTTCTTGAGATTACATTTATTGTTCTCTGTGGTCAGCAAAACATTGCGATGAGTCATCAAGAAAGTTACATCATTATTAAAGTCGTACATGCATATATCTGCTTATGAATTTACTTTATCACAAACGTTCTTAAATGAGTCCTTTAATGTATTCACATGATCCACATAATCTATGTGATATTCAACAATTTTTAATTAATTTACTGACATTTCTGTTAGGAGATTTTGAAATATCTTTGCATGTAATATAACGTGTAATATAACGCGTTTTTTATATATACATGTATTGTAATGTATTAATGAAATATTTAACAGTCCAAAACAGTCACTGAACTTAATCACAATTTTCACAACATGATAGTTTTTAAATTAATATATTGTTACAACAGTTGCTACTTATGAAGGTGCAAAATGACAGTTTTTCCTCAGAGAGCATTGGGCATTGTGTGAATATATTCATCTTTGTCGAGAGTCTCGGCGTTAGCTGTGGCTTATGTCATGGACTAACGTGAATTTGACAATTCCGTCCAGCGGATTCGGCTTTTCTAAAGAAAGCAAGGCTCTGTACCCAAACATGACATATAATCAGTTCAATTAAAACAAACGCTTGCTTTAGTTTTCGACGTTTCTAGCGTTTTTTTTTATTTAAAATTTACTGAATACGGGAGATTCGTAGCTATAACATCAGTTTGAAAGTCGCAAAATGACATTTTTTTCTGCGAAAAAAATCGATTATAAATATAAAAAAGTTCTATGGTATATATGTAACGTACTTGTTCATTTTACCTATTTTAAAATTAACAAAAAGAGTTTGAAATCATTACCAATATGTTGTCAATATAGCCTCTAGATAGTCACAAAATGCCAGGATATCGCTTCCTCTTTCAAAAAAATTTCTCGGGGGGGAGCATGCCCCCGAACCTCCCCAGTTAAGGAGTACATACCAAAAAAGCTCAGTTACGCCCCTGGCGACCCAACAACAACAACAGAAATCAAATTCAAGGACAGATAATTCAAGGTCGATGATCACAAGATCATGCAACGTTAAAATAGATTCTGCTATGTAGTTTTCAGTCTGCTATGCATCTACATGTATATGCAACCCTAGCGTACGCCTGCAAATCACATGGCATTTTGCATATTAGCGTTCATTAACTAAAATGTGTTTGTATAGTTAGTTATGCGACGCTTAGATTATTATCATATTTTATCATATTTGATTGGGTAGTTTAAATATTACCTTATAAACGTGTTAAAAAAGAAATTCAAAAACAAAAATGGCGGATATCAGTATTATAATATCTAAAGTTTTTCTTCTTAACTTGTGCATTTTTCTTCATTCTGCAAGAGGTAAGTGCTGATCAACATATCTGTATGTTTTTTTTTTTTAAATCTTATTTTTGTAAGGTTGCATACGTTGTTATGAATGTTGTTGTTTTTTTGTTGTTGTTCATTCTGTTTGCATAGTGAAATCGCATTTTTTTATTTAAATTTTCGTTTTTTTTTATTTAATCAATGTGTAATATGTAGGTTTAACGATCTTAAACATTAGTATCCATTTTACTCACAAACTTTATGAAATAATTAAGTAGTGAGATGGCAATCAAATTACTCTAAAAGTAAAATTTGAATTTTATTTATAGATTTGCTCTCTATTGTTACCAAGTACCGCGCGTAAAATTAATTATTATATATATACCGCGTAAAATAATTAACTATGAACGGTGTTCCGTTAGGGCCATCGCCTATAGAAAAAGTATGCATTTAATTAAGAAGTCTTCAGTGCCTGCAGAATTTATATTTATTGCATAAGGCTAGAACTATATGCTAACCATTTTACTAACGATTGATCTAGCATATCTCAATACACTTAATTATCATACGTGCCTGACTTTTTCCTTTGAATTATCGTGCTTTCCATGCTTTCTTTTCAAAATTATCATACTTTCTAAAACATCATAATTGTGTCCTCTAAAATATCATATTTTCTTTGTTTTGTCAGATATTGCCATGATTGCATGACTTCATATTCATAATTATCATTCTTGCATTGATAAAAGCTTTAGTTAATCATTCCTTTTTATTAATCTCCCAAATTATCAAATTGCATATCATTAACTTCTTAATTCTCATACTTTTAACCTTATAGTTCTTTTACTTGCATTTATTTATCTTTTGGTCAATCATGCGTTCTTATAAATATCATAACTGCATGCTTAAATCGTACTTAGTATCATACTTGCATGTTTTATTGTAATCTTTCACGTCCTTTCTGTGTTTATCTTTCAAATTATCATACTTCCATGGTCGTACCCTATAAAGTTCAGTGCTTGCATGGCTTTTTATATGTATTTTCATACTTGCGTTGCATAATTATATTAATTATGAAACTTGCGTTACTTGTGTGTCCTCCCTTTGTGACAATCATTTTTGACTATGTCACATAAATAAGTATAAATGACTGGCTGAATCCTGTCAATTAATTTATCAATAAATAACTTGTGCATGGCTTTATCCTATGATTTATCATACTTGCATGGCAGAGCCACGTTACCACTGTAAACAGATACTCTTTAGCTACATTCCTGTCTGTACAGGCCTTATGTTCTCATGACAATAATGAACATATGAGTTGTCATGCATGCATGACTAAATATCCTCTAAAATATTATCCGTGCACAGCGGCTCGGGTTATATATGCAAGCAACCGTTTATATATAACCACATGACCTGTCAAAATCTATATAGCTAATAATATATATTGATTTAGTAGGTTTATGATACTTTTTGAAAGGGGCCATATCAAAGAATTGGTGCGAAACGTTTGAATATTACTCCCTTGACATAAAAAAAGAAAATATATTAAATATTTTTTTGTTTATTCGGTTATGTACGTCGATTTGATTTGATGAAGGTATGAAACATAGCTCTATTGGGTTATGAAGCCAGCGGATTAAATAATCCGACGGTTTATAGTAACTTGGTTTGATAGATATAAATACATATACATGCGCCCTTCAAGGAATAAAATAACATTTCCCGGTGCATGATTTGTACATAGTTGTGGATTTTACAATCGTCAACTTATTAAAATTGTGGAGTTATATCGCAAATTAAGCTTAAAAAGTAAAGAGTCAAAATTTATCATTAATATATTCCTCCTCAAACACATCGTCGGATACCCACGATTGATAAACATGTCACATAACATGCAATCAGATAAATGTTAATGGTTCGGCCGTGGGTATCCGACGATGAGGTGAAAGAGACCCAGTTTGAAAAGGCATTATTATATAAGAAAAGTAGAAAACATCATTGCAGACGCGTTTTTTTTTTCTTTTCTTTTTTTAAGAGCACAGAATTTTTATCAACGAATTCAGCCCCCATATTTCATCAATACAACAAATTTAATACATTATGCACGTAATAAGCAAACCATGCTTTTAATATTCCACAGAGACTTAACAAATTAATCATATTTTAAATGACAATATTTTGTAATATGTAATACAACATTATATTTATTTAAATATTACATTACAAAGAACATTATTTCATTATGAACATGTCGATACAATTGAAAATGGCAAGAGTTTTAGTATTGAAGCATATCTGATTTCAAATCATACTGTTTATCTTATAATCTATTAAACACTTTTACATTCCAAACATTAATCAAAATGTTTCGCATTATGTGATATCAACGAAATTGAAACCGAATTTCATTTTATGTTTAAATCTAAATCGTATAAAGAATTGCGAACTAATTAATATATCAAACAAAATTGTATAAATTGCTCGAGTTAAGCAATGAAATGAATGCGTTCTAATTTATCTATGTATATTTATTATCTCAGCCGATGAAAAAAATCTTCTCTTGGGCAGAATATTGTTACTTTTGTCTTTAAGCATGTACCTTGAATAAGGTAACTTATTAATCTATTGAATGCATGTTTATTTTAGGAGATTCGTTTAGTTTATCATCGAATCAACAGGGCTTGAAGTTAAGAGACGATGGAGGCCGGGTAGAAAGATCTACAGGGTGTTCTGATGACGGTAAATTTATAGAATACGAGCATGCGTGGTTATTCTGTCTAACCACAAACTCAAAGAAAAAAAATCTAGAATGAGACTTTTTAAAAAATGCTGTTTAAAGATTTTGAATTGGAAGAGATTAGTCTTTACCACCAGAATAGAGCGAGGCCAGCCCAAATGTCCGTGCAGCGTGACCAAGCTCTTTACTGCTGGTAGCTTAATTTTTCGGACTAAGTCTGTCTGAGATCGGTTTGACTTCCTGAAAAACTTACAGGGAAGAACTGACTTCTAAAAGGATTTTCATCAGTCATTTTAAAATTGCTATCTGAAATCCGGGAATCTCATTGGCCATCCTATAATTAGAGTAATAATCTAAACGATCTTTCTGACACGTATAAACGTTCAATTTATAAAAGAACCTAAAGGAGTATCGGAAGCACAGTTTCTTGTAAAATTCCTCGGATATTTGAGATCCCGTAAATTCAAGTGCATACCGAAAGACACCATGCAAGTAAAAGCAGTTTTACCGTTTACGGTATGTTTTTAAAGACAGAAGCTACTTCTTACTGTACTTTAACATTGAAATCCCTTAACCTTTACAACTTGGACGCCAACGGTTTTTCAAGTAGTGCAAACCTGTAAAAAGATTATTCTGCAGGTGTATTATTAACATTCATAATTACTTCATAATACTTAGTCGCATTATATTGTACGATAAAATCTAGATCGTAAAATGTAAAGGAACACTATGATTCTTTTTTTATTCTGTCTCATTTTAAACTGCAGTTATAACACATTTAATGTTTGTAATCAAGTACATGTAGAAGGTCTTACGCTTTATCATTTTTTATCTTTAAAAGATAACTCACAAAAACCGGTAAATCGAATATTTAAAAGAAATAATTATGGAAACTAAGTTTCGATGTGGTCTTAATAAGATAAAACACTTGATTAAAAAAAGAAAGAATGGCTAGATAAACATAACCTGTCCCATTTTACACACACCGTGTCAATCTCGTTGAAATACAACCATTTTATCAGTCGCAACTTTTCGACTCTTTCCGTTAATCTTCGGATAAGATAATACGTTCCGATTGCAATTTTAGCTCATTAAGGCACCCATGCTTCGTGGAAAGTGACTTTAATACGACGTTTCGTTTTGACAATCGTGATCTTTTAATTAGTCTGTACCCGCGATGCACGATGGTACGATGGTGAAAACTTTAAACATGACTATTTCAGGATAAAATATTTCAGATCATTTTACTGTAACAAAATACCAAAGATATAAGTTTTTGAGACATAGAACAAGTAGCATTTCCGAGGAAAAGTGGACCTTCAAGAGCAGGCTGGATGTGTATCCAATGAAAAATGTAGCACTAAATTTGAACGTTTTTGTCAAAAAAGTAACAAAATGTAAAAAGACTTTTTAACTTCCATACAAAGTAATAAATCACTGTAACTGAATGATTTTGCAAAAGTCAAGAAAGCAACATATTCAGATAACTTGCGAACGAGTAACTTTAAAAGCACATTATGCTTCAGAAATGCTACTTATTCTATTTCTCAAAACCTATAATTTTTGGAATTTTGTAACAGTTATCAAAGTAATACTCATTTACCATATACATGGACTATCTCTTTATATAAAGGTCTGTTAGCAATTTTTATAATAATAGTGAATTAGTCTTTTGTATGGAAGTAAAAATACTACTTTGTTTGTTTACATTTTGCTACCTTTTTGACACATTTCTGTACGTTCAGCGATACTTGCTTCAGTTACCAAGCTCTAATTCAATTATTTATTGACACTATCAAATTTTACATTTCTAGTATTTAGAAATATTGATTTCTGAAGCATAATGCGACTTTTACAGAATGACAAAAGAAAAAAGTATCTGAGAAATGAAATAAAAGCATTTGTCTGACTTATTGGGCCTTTAATGTTTCAATTTCTATTATACTGAGATAGTTAAATGAAATGAGTTAAGTCTATTATTAAGTGCATATTTCTTTTCAGCAAAACAACTTAAAGCGGTTCCAAATTATGCGGATATGTACGGAGGAAGAATTGTTGATCTTTCTGGTCCATGTTTCGCGACAGTCAAATCGGCATATTGCCAGTTCAAAAACGTATGTTAACAGTTCTTCTTTGCAAACATGTTGTTGCCGTTACAGTTACATTTAAGGCCGCAGCAGTTACTGCTGATGCAGCAGTTACCGTTGCTACTGCAGTTACCAATGCTGCTGTAGTTACAGTTTCTGCTATAGTCACCGTTGCTGATGCAGTTACCTGTAGTTGCTACAGTTAAAGCTGCTGCTGCAGTTACTGTTGGGCTTGTAGTTACCATTGCTGCTGTAGTTACCATTGCTGCTGTAGTAACCGTTTGTTGCTGCAATTACCGTTGCTGTTGTAGTTACCGCTGCTGTTGCAGTTATCGCTGCTGCTGTAGTTACCGCTGCTGCTGCAGTTACCGTTGCTGCTGTAGTTACCGTTGCTGCTGCAGTTACCGTTGCCGGTGTTGTTACCGTTGCTGATGTAGTTACCGTTGCTGCTTAAGTTACCGCTGCTGATGCAGTTACCGTTGCTGCTTTAGTAAACGTTGCTGCTGTAGTAACAGCTGCTGCTGCAGTTACTGTTGCGACTGTAGTTACCATTGCTGCTGAGGTTTCCATTCCTGCTGTAGTTACAGCTGCTGCTGAAGTTAAACGGTTGCGACTGTAGTAACCGAAGCTGACGTTGTAACGGTTGCTACTGAAGCTACTGATGCTGCTGTAGTTACCGTTGCTGCTGTTGTAACGACTGCTGATGCAGTTACTGTTGCTGCTAGAGTTACCGTTGCTGCTGTAGTTAACATTGCTGCTGTAGTTACCGTTGCAACTGCAGTTACCGTTGCTGATTAAGTAAGTGTTGCTGCTGTAGTAAGTGTTGCTGTAGTAGTTACCGCTGTTGTTGAAAGTACTGTTGCTGCTGCATTTACCGTTGTTGCTGCATTTACCGTTGTTGCTATAATTACTGTTGCTGCTGCAGTTATCGTTGCTGCTGAAGTTACCGTTGCTGCTATAATTACTGTTGCTGCTGTAGTTACCGTTGCTGCTCTAGTTACTGTTACTGCTGTAGTTACCGTTGCTGCTGTAGTAACTGTTGCTACTGTAGTTACCGCTGCTGCTGTAGTTATCGTTTCTGCTGCAATAACCACTGCACTGTAGTTACCGTTAATGCTGTAGTTACCGTTGATGCTGTAGTTAGTGTTGCTGCTGCTGTTACCGTTGCTGTAGTAGCAACCGCTGCTGCTGTAGTTTCTGTTGCAGCTGCGCTGCTGCTGCAGTTCTCGTTGCTGCTGTAGTTACCATTGCCGCTGTGGTTACTGTTGCTCCTGCAGATACCGTTTCAACTGCAGTTATTGCTGCTACAGTAGCTACCACTCCTTCAGCAGTTTCTGTTGCTACTGTAGTTACCGCTGGTGCTGTAGTTACTGTTGAGATTTAGTAACCGTTGCTGCTTTAGTAAACGTTGCTGATGTAGTCATTGTTGCTTGGGAAGTTACCGTTGCTGATGTAGTTACCGTTGCTGATATATAGTTACCGTTGCTGATCGCGATTCAAATAATAGTCCTCATCATACATAAATAATTTCTGTCGATCTTATAAACCATGAGTTAATTCCACTTAGTTAAAAACCTACAGGATAATGTTGTGATTTGGTTGGCAACAGGTTGTAAAATGCGATGTTTTCCAAAGCTGTTGTGTTAGGCGGAACCATTAGGTAATAACAGCGGTAATAACACTGGAACAAAATTCAGGGGGGGGGGGGATATTCAATTAGCCGTAGCAAATATGAATATGACGAAACAATATTAAAGAGACGCTATTTCCTTACCAGAAAAGTTATTGGGAGTTAAATAGTGTGCATCTGACATACAAATGATGCATAAATTATTTTAATATCCTCTGAATTGACTTATTATAAAACTAGAAATAGGATGTATAAATGTACATGTTACAAAATACTTGCAAAAGATAGTTATATTGTCAGTGAAATATTAAAACTTTGCTTTATCACATACCCTTTGCAATTTTTGCGTTCTTTTCAGCCACATGACGGCGTAGTCCTGGCGAATCAGAAAGCTGTAGGCGATATAAGCAGAACAAATGTCCGGTGTATGGTGCCTAGACTTCTAGTACGTGACCGCGTGATTTTAAGTGTTTCAACGGACAATAAGACAACCTACCCATACAGTACGAACTTCACTATTGGTAAGGGATGAATTCATATTCAAATTAAGACCTTCATAATTTAAAAATTTCGAGTATCAGCATAACAAAATTAAAATAGAATTACAAACGCAGTGTGCAACTGTAGTAAGATTTGTTTAAATTTAGTTTTAAATTTTATTTAAAGGGACTTTACTGCGGGTTTTTTAATATGACGAGATTGGAAATATTTTTCGGAAATTAATTTTCCATGTGATGTAGGTATAGACCAATAATTTATTCGAATAATTTCGAATGTTTGCTCTCTTCGTTTTTTCCTAAAAATTATTTAAATTGAGAAAAATGGCCCTAAATTGAAAAGCGTTACCACGCCTTTTTGCTTAAAAAAAGCAAAAAATACGGTGTTTAATATTTCTTAAATATCTTTTGCAAATCTTACTATTTTTAATGTTCAGGCTGATCTATGGAATTCATTTTTTTGATGTTTTAGGTTTTATAAAAATACAGTGGTCATCGCTGTAAACATCCCTAGACATCTCTTTGAGAAATAAACGTGAAAATATTTCTGGGGCATAATGGACCTTTAAAGTTCCATGTGTCGCTATAGCAGCAGAACTACAATTGTATTCTATTTCTGATCTTGCTTCAGTTTTTCCCAGAAGAATACCACCCTCAGTGAAGCCTGTAGGGGAATGGTTATTTCACAATGCAACTGTTCTAAGTCTTAAATGGAATTATACATTGCTCACCAACGACCAAAATTCTCTGGTTGACATACGACTCATTGGTTTCAAGGAGAGTGATGGAAAAGTATAATTTTACCATATTTTAGTTCATATGCAACTCATCCGTGCACTTCACAAGTATTATTCCATTTTCGTCAAATAAAATTACCGATTTTATGATTTTGTAAAACCTTAATCAGAGGTCACGTGTTGCTACTTTACCGCTCGTATGTGAATGATGTTTTGCTTTACTCGTTGAACAGATATGCGCTGTGCCGTACATGTTCACTGTCTTGCCAAAACAGAAACTTTTAATAACACGTTTTTGGAACACTCTTCCAAGACCCAGTGGTTGGTATAAATGAAAACAAAATAAAAAAAATTATTGTCGAAGGTGTGCCGAGCAAGCTAGATAAGACGATCTCTAGGACCATCCACTTCCACAAAGTCAACATATTGAATCAGTCCTACGCAATCTGACTAAAGTTCAGATCTACTTATTTCTGTTAGGTAGATCTGATGACAACCGAATATGCTTCGCCTCTTTATCCGATAAAGTTATTTTAGCCATGCAATCAACCGTTTGTTTTGCCAGTTTACCTGTCGGCTATATGGACAATGCCATGTTTGTTCTCAAAACCCTCAGTATTGGTTTTCCCAAGGTTAACATTAGAAACCACATCGCTTTCAAAATTGTGAAAGCTCGCCGCTGATTGGCTGTGTGAAAGGTCACCAGAAATGATTTAGTATTTGGTCACGGTTAGATCTTAAAGCAGAGCATTATTTATAGCTGAATTTTATTAGTGTGCAGTCCTACGCTAAATATTTTCAAAGGACGCCTGTCTATCTTTTAATCTGGACACAGCCATTCACCATTAAATTTTGTTTTTTTTTTTAAATAAAATCTCCTGACAGAATAGTGAACTGTGCAGATCATGATTAGATGGCATGGGTGTGTCGAATGGTTTTGGTTTGCACTGGCGAATAAATATGTTCAGTTGCCGCTAGAATGATTAAAGAAAGCATGAAAATAATAGAAAATGGTAATCGAGTTTTGGTTTGCATTGCTTTTATCAAATCTTTTTTCTTAAATTCATAAATCTACAAGATGCATATTTATCTTATATACTTTTAGATACTAGGTAAATAAGCACACGCGCACACACAGCGAAACGATAACTAATGCCCTCTTTTAAATTTATGTTAATGAAAGTGCATGTTGGCATTTCATTGCAGGCAATTTACAAACATTTGATCATCCTTGGTAAAGATGTACCGGCGTCAATTGGTGAGTATGAATTTGAAATCAGTAACTACCAATGCAGTGGACAAGACTGTTTCGAGTATGAGGTCGGATTGGTTGAGGTGAAACTACAAGACAAGTTCACGCCTACCAAGAACAAGTATTTGATACTTATTATGTTCTGTATGTGAATTGTCTTAAGATGCTCGTAGTATGAAAAAAGATGACGTTTAAACTTTTGAAAATGTCGTACACTGTAAAATTAATAGCGTGGTATACTCGGTTTAATTCGTTGAGTCTGGTTGATTTTAAACTCACCACTTCGTGGTCAAGCTGAGGTATAGTGATGGGGCTATGTCCGGCGTCCGTCGTCGTGCGTCGTTCGTCGTCAACAATTGGATTGTTAACAGTCTAGCAGTCACAGTTTTGATTGGATCATCATCAAACTTTGTCAGAATGTTTGTCTCAATTACATATATGTCGCATTTGAAGATGGCTTATTGTATCTGGGGTCAAAACTTAGTCACAGGGGCTAAACATAGAAAAAAGCTTGTTAACACTCTGATGGCTGCAGTTTTGATCCAGATATTCTTGAAATTTGGTCAAGTTCGAAAATGGGTTACCTCCGGTCAAAAACTAGATCACAGGTGCTTAAAATAGAAAAATCTTTTTAACACTCTAGTGAATGTAGTGTTGATCCAAATGTTCTGGAAATTTGTCAGGAAAGTTGTTTTGATGATTTGTAGGTCAAGTTCGAAGATGGGACATCTCCGGTCAAAAACTAGGTCACAGGAGCTAAACATAGAAATAACTTGTTAACACTCTAGTAGCTGCAGTTTTGATCCAAATATTCTGGAAATTTGTCAGGAAGGTTGCTTTGATGACTTATAGGTCAAGTTCGAATATGGGTCATTTTCGGTAAAAAAAACTAGGTCACAGGAGCTAAAAATTTAAAAATCTTGATAACACTCTAGTGACTGCAGTTTTGATCCAAATATTCATGAAGTTGGTCAGGAAGGTTGTTTAGATGATTTCTAGGTGAAGTTCGAAGAAGATGGATCAGCTCCGGTCAGAAACAAGGTCAAGGAGCTAAAATAGAAAAAGCTTGTTAACACTCTAGTTGCTGCAGTTTTGATCCAAACATTCTTGAAATTGGTCAGGAAGGTTTTTTGATGATTACTAGGTAAAGTTTGAATATGGGTCGTCCCCGGTCAAAAGCTAGGTCACATTGCCCAAATATGGAAACACCTTTTTAACACACTAGGGGTTATATTTTTTACTCAATTGTCATCAAACTTGGCCAGGATGCTTGTATAAGACATTGCTTGGATGCGGTTGATAAGCCAGGGGAGCAATATTGGGCCATCATGGCCCTTTTGTTTTTAATTTTGAACGGTAGTGGTATTTGAATTTCTCTTATAGTTTATATGTTTTGTAAAAGATCTCATATTATAACTTCGAAATAGTAAGACCATTATAATAAAGAAAAGACTACAGCTGGAGGATCTGAACTCAATCGGGATTATGTCACATCGGGATTGTGTCTTATCATCACTTCTGGCAGGATCACAAGGTTATCACATGCATATAGTAACAAACTTTGATTTATTTATTTTTACAGGTTTTTGTCAACAAATCGTGTACCACTCGGTTGGTTTGTCAGAAATGTAATGAAAGCAAAATACGGCTCGGATTGGCCCTCTGATTTGTGTATGAAATGGCATAAAAGCGCATCTCGGGACATGAAATGGTTTGACGAGATTCTTAAATGTCCATGTTCGTTAGCTCAGGCGATTGCAGACTTTGGAAGGTGGCATCCTGACATCGGATGCAATCTACAAATGGCGGCCAATAGGAACAATTGTAAATACCACCATGCTGCCGTGCATTGTGTGCGTTCCGTGCAGCCAGTGTAAGTTAAAGAACTTTTTAGCGTTTTTGAATTTTTATACATTTAATAATGATACAATACTTCATATCTTGTCTATTTTGTTGTAGTTAATGTCATCCGTTTTTTTCTTGTAAAAAAGAGTGTTTATGTCTTGTTTATGAGTGTGACATGTAAAAAAAGCTTTTAAAAGTGGGTTATCAAATGACATCTTAAAGTGCTTGATGATTTTGAAGAGGTTTTGAATAATTCACAAGAATAGCCGTCCAGAAATTAATTTTTATTAAGTGTAATTTCTTTCAAGCTGAGAGCCATACACGTGCAAGTTATGTTTTGATGACTCGCCCATGGCAATTTTTTTATGTCCTTGATCTTTCTTTTACCTTAAGTATTAGATCTACTTGCATTGAATGACAAATAAAATGTACTTACAAAAATCATTTCTTTTTATTAGACAAACATGGTATAAAAACATTCTAAAATACTTAAAGTACTAATTCAAGGCGATTTTTATTTTATATTGCAAGGTTCATTGTGTCCCCACGTTAGGGGGCATTCAGATTTACGCTTGTCCGTCCGTCCGTTCTCATGTTGTGTCGCATTTACGTAAAAGTGCTTGAGCTAATGCCAAGCTGCTATATTCAGCATTCTCTACAATGCCAACAGCTTTGATATTTTGGAAAATCTATAAAAAAGGTTTTAGATATTATAATGCAGTTTGGGTCTAAAATGACAACATCGTATGACCAAATCACTGAAAATTTTGTTGTAAAACGTGACCTTTTTTAACAATGCATTTCAGGTGAGCTTAAGAACTATTATGGCCCTTTTTTAAAGAAATTTGTTTCTTTGTTTGTTTGTTTGCTCTGATTTACTTAAATGACACGGGACTATATTGTTGCGCCTATGTATAGATATAATTGTTGTTCTAAGATATATGCAAGGCATGATAAGAAGACGATTTGTCTTCAAAAATTGCTTTAATGTTTACCGATGTGTTGTTGCTCTGAAAATTTTATATGTTAAAAATGAAGATGCTGCACTTATTTGTACAACAATGCTGATTTCCTGAGCTAATTGGCTTTAAGAAGAAGTGATATAATGCGTGCTTTGATCAACGAACAATATATTTAAGACTTTGTTTTTATCACAGCATGCTATTATTTTAGCAATGCTAACCAAAATTTATTTGATATGACATAGCTTCAGATCCAAACAAAATAAAAAAGCTTTCATTTTATATTAAAGAAATGGAGCCGGTAACCAGTGTTGTTACAGCGCTAAAGGATATCTTGTGTTCGCGGCAGACACATATTTTGGAAGTACAGCTGACAGAAGTCACGATTGGGGAGCTGCACCTTATGGTAAACCTGGTCATGTTCCAATTCTCTCTCATTGGGTAGATGATATAATTCCGCTATTTATCTGTTGCCAGTGGACCGACTTCAAGTCATGTGACTATTACGTTGACCTGAGAGGAACTACGGATTGTACGGAATATAACCCTCCTGTACCAGGTATATGTCTGCTAAATCTAAACTGTTATATCCTACCATATCAACCATCAAGCTAAAACGCTCACATGCCAATGTCACACTTGGAGGTCAACATTGATGGCGGGTTTAATTTGTAATGTCCATAACTTTTCATCTATGAGCGGATTTTGAAAAACAATAACTTGGTGCAGATATAGTGATCACCATAATATGAAGATGCTACACCAAGACCCTACCTCCAAGGTCAATGTTACACTAAGAAGTTAAAGCTTAAGGTCTCTTTAAGGACCGTTTTAGGTCAACATAATAAGTTTGCACAAGTATAGACAATGTGTCACAACAACCAGAACCTCTGTCATAAGTAAATGGCAGAATGTCTGTATTTCCATTGTCCAGAAATGTAATATAGGTTCCAGTGAAAAATATTAATATAAAAAGATAATAGCGAGAGGAAGTGCACTGTAAAAGAACCCAAACTCTATCTCTCTTTTTTAACTATCTCCAGGCGTTGTTATTATTTTGTCAGTGATAAAACTGCACAATTGTATTTCTCTACATAAACATAGGCAATTATTTTATTTCATTTCATATAATGAATTTATTATTCCATATGCACATGTAGCATTTATCAAGATTTGCCCTAAAAATCTATATCTAAACATATACCTCAAACTTTTGAAATAATGTTTTCCTGTGTTTCATCTTAAACTTAAACGGCGTAAATTAGTAACTCTATACCTTTAAAATTCTAGTTATAATTATCATATTTTCAGCTTGGATAATGGTCGATATATTTTCAAACTTTCCGAGCTATTGTTAGTGACGAATGATTCCAACGAAAACCAATGGCATTATTATAATTATTCTAACGATATCACATATCTGTCAACACGTAACTATCCTGGATTATGGACCCTATTTTCCAGGTTTGCTAATTAATGATGAGAACAAAAGTACTTTCAACAAATGTCCGTCAGATTGTAGGGCAGGTTGGCCTTCATGGGTTTTTGTTTTCTTTTGAAGTTTATTTCTTTGTTTTATCGTTTTATGAAGTTTCTTACTATACTGCTAGTTTGTAACATAATTATGATGATGTAAGAATTGTGACGAAGTTTCACTGCAATATCAATTTTACAGCGTTTGTGTTCGGACTAGGTCACATTGCGACATTTAGAGGCCGGAAAATCCGCATCATGGCGGCGGGGGATTACATCTTGCTTAAAGCGGGGACCACAGAGGTGCAGGCGAGATTTGAAAATAATCTTACTCCACCTGAAAGTAAGCAGTTATAACTAAAATTTTGAAGTCGACAAGGCATAGATCTACATGTTGTTTTATCAATGGCATTTGTATAATCAAATATCAAATTGAAAATAACAAAAATTAGCAATGGATGTTTTTGCCATTGCGTTTTTAAGTAAATTTAATTAAATGGAAGTTACCGTGGGAAGTTTTGTGAAAACAAATGGTTGATTTAATTAAAGGGAAGTTACAGTGTAAAAGCAATGTTTGGTAAGTTAGAGGCTCACTCTGTAACAATTTCATTTTCCTTCCAGGTAAACCCACATGGACTTCAGATTATACCTCATTACAAGTCGTGAGGGTTATTAAAAACGCGTTTACGTTGACATCTGTGGCCATAGAAAATGATGGCGTATCAGACAGGGTTGAACTACGATTGCACAAAGATGATACTGACAATATCGAAGTGCTACTGAATGGAGAAATTAAACTATTTAAGGAGAAATCTTTAAAATGGCAAGATTTCAAAGGTAATCCTAGCTGTGTTAGTGCCAGTGACAAATTGAAAATATCTTTTTAGTGATTCAGTGGTATCTATTATGAATTTTTTAAATTTAATTGTCATAATTATAACATATGATATTTTAGTGTAGACTAAACCGTTTTTGTTATAAACTTTATAGATCTAATGTATTTTTCAATAAAACGTTGATTATAAACAAAACTATATATCATACATTAAACAATAGTTTTAGTAGTTCTGCTGCAAAACGAGTTGCAAAGGTGGTTAACGAGCAGCCGACTTTCAGCAAATGCTTTGGAAATACATTATATGTTAGATATATTCCGATCATGCAATTGAAGACATTTAGTCTAAAACTAAAATACATACAGATCATGCAAAAAGAAAAGAAAGATCAATGCCTACTTTCAGCTTAGCAAAAACAAACTATTTTTAATGTTCTATATGGGGCCGGGCTATAAAATATAAAAAGACTATCACATATAGGACATTAAAAATAAATTATTTCAAGTACCTCTGGTAGCAATGTCACGTTTTTCGATGTTAAAATGTTTGAGTTTTTTGTTGAGTTTTTTCTTTTTGAATTGCCAGTGCATTCCACATATTTCTTTTCAATGCTCTATCATTTCAGGTGTTGCGGTTATCAATACCACCTTGGCCGGAAAGAATTGCAATTTTACAGTGCTTCTTACCAATAACATAGGGTTCCAAGTGGCAACCGTTGCTGGCACCATGCAGCTAGATCTTATGATGCCTACGGATGTTATTGTAATTTTTATTTACATATTATTTTAATTTATGCAGATATTTTTATCTAATTAATAAGATGCTAAATATCTCTTATTAAATCAAAATACAGAAGTTTATAACCAAAGCAGCAAAAAACATAGATTTGCACAATGTATGGATTCTAGAATTTTACGTATTGTGATGTGAGGGCCACGTCATTATCTACCGACGTCAATAAAAATTATTTTATAATTTATAACAACCATTATAGCACTACTGATAGCTCATTACAGCATTTAAATCATCATCAATAGTTTGAAGTACATTAGTAGTAATAAAATGTGAAGCCACCAGACACCTTGGATTTTTTAACGTACATTTCTGGTTGAAAGAAGTAATGTTATATCAACTGTTTATTGATAAAGTGATTCTATATGTTCATCTTAAAATGTAAATCAATAAAAGCGAAATAATTCTAAATTATTAGACACTACTTATCTTAATTGTAATTAAACTCTTACCCTACTGGAAACCAAAACTAAAAACCTTTTGACACAAGCATAGAGAAAACCAAGATGGCACATCCGTGCAGTCTGACAAGCCGCTGTTTTGTTAGTACATGTAGCTCAGATTTTGTATTTTCTCATCGAAATCCCTATAAATGAAATAGAATATACAAAAACAAAGCGAGACAAATCTATTATAGAAACTCAGCAGGTTACGGAAAAAGCCACATCATGCTTCAGAAATCAATACTTTTTAGCTCGACTATTCGATAAGAATAAGTAGAGCTATTGTAGTCACCCGAGCGTCGGCGTCGGCGTCTGCGTCGGCGTCGGCGTAACCACTTATGTTAAAGTTTTTGTAATAGTTCAAATATTTTCAAAGTCCATTGACATATGGCTTTGAAACTTTGCGCAATTGTTCACCATCATGACCCAAACCTGTAGACAGGAGGAGGTAACTCTATTAAGCATTTTGACAGAATTATGCCCCTTTTTCGACTTAGAATTTATGTTAAAGTTTTTGTAATAGTTCAAATATTTTCAAAGTCCATTGACATATGGCTTTGAAACTTTGCACACTTGTTCACCATCATGACCCCAACCTGTACACAGGAGGAGGCAACTCTATCAAGCATTTTGACAGAATTATGCCCCTTTTTCGACTTAGAATTTATGTTAAAGTTTTTGTAATAGTTCAAATATTTTCAAAGTCCATTGACATATGGCTTTGAAACTTTGCACACTTGTACACCATCAAGACCCCAACCTGTAAACAGGAGGAGGTAACTGTATCAAGCATTATTTTTACTATCAAGCACTAAGAATAGTCGAGCGTTGCTGTCCTACCGACAGCTCTTGTTTTAATTGTTTAATAATGTTAAAATTATCGATTAAATGCATGTTAGATGTTTTACAGCGATGCGCTATGTGTCGTAATGGTAGCAAAAATGTAAATTTGTGCAAAATACTAACTCACCATGATTATACAAGTTGCAAACAGAACTAAAGATACAAAAGATAGTTCGGACATATAGCAAATGAGTATATTTTGTGAAACTATAACAAGATACCTATATATAAAAGATATAGGTTTTGATAAATAAAATTGATAAAAAAGGAGAAATAAAAATGATTGCATTTCTAACGCATATTTCTGACGCATAATGGGCCTGTTTATAATGGATATGTTTTAATTCATCAACTTATAAAAATCATATTAAATAAATTTTTGTATTTTACATGGTGACTACAGAAAGTGACATCTGGATTATTCGGAAACATTGACGGTGGGAAAACATTGCCGAATGGTGAATCAATTGTTTATGATGCTTACAAACCCGAAGAAGTGTACAATTTTGAAAAAGCATGTAAGTTTTTTATATAAATAAATTGTCAGAACTCCGCTTTAATGATTTTCTTTAACTTCAAATTAGCACAAAAAATTATTTATTTTGCAATTTTGTAAATAACCACAACAATTATCTTTTTCCATTACTGTTAATTCACTTTATTTCTTGGACTTGGAATTTCGTGATTTTTGTCACAAAGAACATTTTGTGGACTGTTAATTTTTCCAAAAGGGGAAATATAAATAATGTCTTGCAAAATAATCTTACAGCAGACGAAATGAAATTTCGTCGTGGAGACCTGAAAATTAGTTCTCCACGGATAATAATGAGCATATACATAACAAATTTTAGGAGTTCAATTATAATTTGTGTGCTTCATATATTAAAACGTAAATGATATTATCCAGAGCATCAAGATAATTTTTCAATCAATCTTATGACGATAAATAAAAATTAAAAACCGAGAAACAGTGTTGGTAATACATTTACCATTCTAAAACTCACGTGATTTTGTCACTACAGACAAAGAAGGAAAAAAAAACTGGTGTTAAACTGCCAATAAACACCGGTAAGGGACTACTTGTATATGCGCTGTTATGTTTTCACCCTCGATTGTATAGTTTACAAAGCATTTTAAAGCAACAATAAAAAACATTTTTATTTATATTTTCAGTTCATATAATGTTTTCTTTTCATACAATACCGAAATAATATCTCACAATCACTAACGCCACATATTAGATCCATATCAGTTAATAAATATTTTGACAAAACGGCGCCAATCCGTAAGCAGCGTAATGACGTCACCCTAAGTAAACAACTCATTTATAAACAAGCTGACGTTATTTCATACAGACAAGAATGATAAATGGGGCACTGATGTAAACACAATACGACGTAAGTTTTTATTGTTGAAAACTTGATAAAATAACGTTTTTTTCTTATTATTTCTTTTGTTTAATAATTTCTATATCTTCGCAACAGTAGGGTGCGAAAATCGAACAGCGTTATATACGAAAATCGGCACCGGAAGTTATTTCCGCTTGAAAAATAACATTAGTAATTTTCCTTATTCATCGTGTTAGAATCGAAATAACATCGGCCTGAGAGGTGTATATCGGCTATTTAACACCGGTATTGTCGTTTTGATGCGACAAAATTAACCACTCAGGCCTACGGCCTTCGTGGTCAATTCCTACGCATCAAAACTCCAAACCGGTGTTAAATAGCCGATATACACCTCTTAGGCCGATGTTATTTCTTAAGTAAACGCTTTTACCAAGACGTATAAAAGTCCTTATCTTAGATGCGTTCACAAAACCCGAACGACTTACACCACAGTTTTGTACATTCCTCTTTCATCTTTTCTATAAGAAAAATTCTAAATTTCAGAATCGTAGGTACCTAATACATTTAAAATATACCATTTTATCTTATTTCAGGGAAGGTGAAAAGTAACAACTTTTTTAAAGACAATAAAACGTTTTCAACAGAACCAATTTTCAACCCTAAAGCAAAATCATTATTTGTACGTTACTGTGAATTCAACAGATTTAACTTTTATAATGCTTGTGGATTTGATTACACGTAAGTATAACTAGTAATAGTTAATAATAAGTTGGTCGACAACTCGGATAAAAGTGAGTTGGTCTATAATGAAAGGTATGCAAAGCAATAAATGATTATGTTCATAGTATTTAGTATTCAGACATTACATGTTGTTGGCATGTGCTAGATACATGATCAGATATGGCGTTATTATATTTATATATCAGGTAATAACAAGATATTCCAAGTAACTTAGTAACATGATCTATTCAATTAAAATTTCAAATTCATCTGTATGCATTATGCAAGCGTCTTCATGCATAACCTAGAACAGAATTGGTACCATAATGTAAGAACTTTATTTTGCTAAACAAGAATTCAGATCTAGAATTTAGATTCGTTAGAAACAGTTATCTCTGACTGCTCTCTTGTGGACCTGAACTCAACCAGAGCACAAACTAGGACCAAGAAGCTCCAGTAAGGTCTCAACATTTCTTTTCAAGCATTCTTTAAGAATATCCAAATGTTACATTACTATTGTTTATATCGATAATTGGAATACTTATGGATAATGTGCCCATTGCAGACCAATCCACTTTAAAAAGTAGATAATGTACCTGTCTGTTGTAAAGGCGTGAAACTAGTTTATTTCTTGTTTTCTCTCAATGTACACTTACTGAAAATAAAACTAACATTCTCTCATATTTCAGACTTACGGAAAGCAAGACATGTTGTTTCTCATAGCAAACTTTTCTGAGCAAGTCCTTTTATAGTGTGGCACTAGTTGGCAGTCTTATATTTAAAGCACAGGTTCTAATATTGTGTAACCATCATTTTAAACAGATTTAAAGCAAGTCAAACCAATTGCTGCTTTTGAAAAAAAAATGTTTATCTCTTAAATGAAACAACAGATTTTGTCGAATGTATAATTGCTTTTTTATCAGTCGTACTGGCTCAACAGTGATCGCTAAGGCAACAGAGGAAGCTGGTTACAGGCAAAAGTCTCTTGTTTATAATTTAAAGCCAAGTATGTTGTAACTTTGTATTTACTTTATTTTCTATCATTTACAGTAATCATTACCAGTAGGCATTTATTCGTTTCAATCTTTACAACAAGTAAAGTAATTTTAACATTATTGCTCAAATATTTAACACTAATTTTATAATTTTAAAACTGTTTAGTATTATATATCTTTGTATAGAATCAAAGTAAAAAGGCTAGCTATAAAATGGTATCTTCAAGAACCAAGAACAACATACTGTTTCATAGGATATAATGTACTCATTTAAATGTGCGCAATGATGCATTAGATATGCTGTAATATGCATTTTTGTTCTTCAACCATTCTGAACACTACCGGCTAATTAGTGACACTACGTGAAGAACAAAAGAAGATCTGAACAATAGTCAGATTTGTTCTTCTGCATCATGCCGATCTTAAGGTAGTCTAACTGTAATGCTTTCCCGCCAAAAAATCTAGCATCTGCCCATACCTTAATAAATCGGCCATTTCCGGAAAGTTACTTTTCACAATCTTCGGTTTTCAATATGTATTCAACATTTTTAACCGTTTATAACCGAAATTAAGTAAATAACGATAAAGGATGAGTGGTTGTAAATAATATAATGCACTGTTTATTGAAAAAATAACGTTATAGAAGTAGCCGATTTGCTACAATATTGACCGATGTTTGATTTTTTTCGCGGGAAAGAATAAAACTACCTTAAAGTCGGGTCAATGTGGCAAGTGTGTATTTTGCTTTTTTTCAGTCCGGTCCTGTGGTTTACTGGATGTTCCGAGATCTAAAAAATCGAGCTATGAATACACAATTGGTACAACCACAACTGTAACTGAATGTAGGAGCGGTTCTTTATCGGGTAACACCACATATACATGCGTCTACACTTCGAGTGTAACTCAGGCCTGGTCTCCGGATGTGACAGCAAAATGTGGTATAAAAGGGTTTTTTTTAGCATAAGCTTTAACAAACCTCTTTATTTGTAGGGACATTTGGTATTGATATCAATTTAAATATTGTATATATTGTTCTTATTTAATTGATTGATTTTGTCAGATATATACATTTTATAAATACAGTTGCATTAAAACATCTATAGACTGACAGAAGGTATTTAATGACAATGTATCAATACGTGCGTACACATAAAATTAGAACAGTTGTATCACGCCTATACAAAAGTTCCATCTGACTACATGCTAGATTTTAGTTGTTCTCTGACGGTAGCAAAAATAATCTCAATACTTTATAAATTTTATTCCCTTATTGTCATCATTTTCACATAAGACAAGAAGCAAGAAACTATTTTCCATGGCTTGCTGTCTCTTTGCTTGCGACAAAGCGACAGGAAGACATTTGACAAAACTTTGTTGTCTTTTTGCTGCAAGCGAGAAAGTGACAGGAAGCCAGTTTGCAAGGAATTGTTTGGCTATTTTGTCTTTTTGTTGTTGCTTGTTCCGGACAAACGCATACTTCTTCATCGGTATTACGCCGCTTTTCATGGAATGGCAAAAACGCAACGTAATATTGGTGGTTCTATGATAACCGCCATATGAACACATCTGCAATGTTTCTAAAATAAAAATAAAAAAATCACAATTCTCATGTTCAAATAAAAGGAGCATAGATTGTAACTTGCACTTGCCACTACCGTCTATGAACAGGCACTGTTAAACCGAGACCATTTTCAAATCTTGCCGTTTCAGACGTCGTTCAGGTTTCCACACAATTGTCATATGTCGTGTTAACGCCGTAAAAATCGAATTGTACATACATGTACAATAAGAGGTGATATAGTTCCGATCCTTGCATGCCATTCATCACGACATTTTTGTGGTGTTGTGATATTCTTTTAACCATTTTTAAGTAATATATAGTCAGTATACCCTCTTTAATACTATATAATCAACATAAGGAATTTTTCTTCTTTTGACGTCTTGTATGTGATATGCAGGTTTCAAACATCGAATTCCCGTTAAAAATTTCATTCTGTTTAGTTTTGCCTATTGTTTTCTCGTTAAGAACACATTCTTTTACGTGGGGACCATACGCTGCTAAGTTTGAAATGACACGAAAATATCACATTGAAGGCTCCATGATAACCGCAGTATGAACCGATAGAATGTTTCTTCATTCCAGGATTCATTATTTACATGTTAAAATGTTAAATTCTGCAAAAGCTGGTGCTGGGGGGGGGGGCATGGACGGTAGCTTGCATTTACAACCACCGGCCATGAACAGGCTCAATGAAACAGACCTTGCAACATTTTCATGTTTCCATTTTTTAGCGTTATTTAAGGTGTTAACTTTTTAACATCATTTTTGTGTTTTACTTTGCAACAAAGAGTAAAGTAGTCAGTTGACACCGCCTTGTTGACACCAGAATAGCTTCTTTTTTATATTTTGCTAAAGCCAATTAGCATACTGTAAAACACTTATTATTCGCGAGAAATTTATTTTCGCTAATATTCGCGAGTTTTCTAAGACGCGAATTCATATTTCTCGCGAATATTTCACTTTGTCTATACACTTGTCCGAAAATGAACACTATCCGAAAATGCGTACACATGGATATATATCTGCGGGAAAGTATCGTACATCATGTCGCTATTCAATTGTTGCAGCATATACATATCGTACAGATTACTAGTATAAAATATTTATCTGTAACAATTTGGTATTATTGAGGAATTGGAAAAAAACTTCTTCGCTGCGTATTACCTGTGTCAAGGAAGGTAAGTGTGACTTGCACTAGAATTAAGAATAAACAAATTAATGCGTCTCACAAAATTTAAATGGTATTTCTACAGATTGTTCTAATTAATGTGAAAATCTGTCCAACTTAATGGAGTAATTAAATTTCCAAGACAATTTATCAAGGTCAGTGTCTATTGAACAATACCCGTGACAAACACAGTGAACACATATCAAATAATTATCAAACTTTATTGAAATATTTTTAGACAGACGGTTTCACTTAACAAGAAGATTAGCAAGATATCAGAAAAAATCGATACAGATATAAATGCATTCGTCGCACAATAAACGATGCAAAGTTAATGAACGGACAGGACAGAAAATATCTGAATGACATCGGGTTTCCGGTTTCACATTTTTCGGGAAGACGCGAATTCATGTTGACGCGAAATAATTATTTTGGACATTTTGCCTCAAATTCGCGAAATAAGGTTCTCGCGAAAAATAAGTGTTTTACAGTAGTTTTTCTCTCGTCTTTTTGTGTCTGTCAACGCAACAACAATGACTTTAAATTTATCAAAACCATTGGCTGCAGTTTAGACACGCTAAAGATCTTTGTTGTCAATTTTATTTTCAGAATTGGAAATGGAAATGGAAATAGAAAATTCGTCTTACTCGTCTAACACAGGAATGATTGTTGGTACCGTGGTTACTGTTTTAGTTGTTGGTGCAATTATAATTATTTAGGTTGTCCTCGTTTTTGTGCGGAAAAGAAGAGATGGTAAGGTTTTATTTTAGTAAATTTTCAACTTCAGAAGATGTCCGTGAAGTACGCGGGCTAACGGGCTAGCAGTCTAGCGGGCTAACAGTATGAACTGAGCGGGCTAGCAGTCTAGCGGGTTAACAGTGTGAACTGGGCGGGCAAGCAGTCTAGCGGGCTAACAGTGTGAACTGGGCTGGCTATAGGTATAGCGGGCTAACAGTGTGAACTGGGCGGGCTGGTGGGCCAGCGGGCTAAAATCTTAAACTTCATTGATTGAACATTAAAACCTCATGATACATTGCCTGGCAGTGTGAAGTGGGCGGGCTAACAGTGTAGCGGGCAAGCAGTGTGGAACTTGGCGGGCTGCGGGCCAGCGGGCTAAAATCTTAAACTTTATTGATTGAACATTAAAACCTCATGATACATTTCCTAGCAGTGTGAATTGGACGGGCTGACAGTGTAGCGGGCTAGCAGTGTGAACTGGGCGGGCTGGCGGGCCAACGGGCTAAAATCTAAAACTTTATTGATTGAACATAAAAATGTTATGATACATTACCTGGCAGTGTGAAGTGGGGGGGCTAACAGTGTAGCGGGCTAGCAGTGTGAACTGGGCGGGCTGGCGGGCCAGCGGGCTAAAATCTAAAAACTTTATTGATTGAACATAAAAATGTTATGATACATTCCCTGGCAGTGTGAAGTGGGCGCGGCTAACAGTGTAGCGGGCTAGCAGTGTGAACTGGCGGGCTGGCGGGCCAGCGGGCTAAAATCTAAAAATTTATTGATTGAACATGAAAACGTTATGATACATTACCTGGCAGTCTGAAGTGGGCGGGCTAGCAGTGTAGCGGGCTAGCAGTGTGAACTTGGCGGGCTGGCGGGCCAGCGGGATAAAATTTAAAACTTTATTGATTGAACATTAAAACCTCATGATACATTACCTGGCAGTGTGAAGTTGGCGGGCTAACAGTGCAGCGGGCTAGCAGTGTGAACTGGGCGGGCTGGCGGGCAGCGGGCTAAAATCTAAAACTTTATTGATTCAACATTAAAACCTCATGATACATTTCTAGCTTTAGCAGTGTGAATTGGGCGGGCTGACAGTGTAGCGGGCTAGCAGTGTGAACTTGACGGCTAACAGTTGTAGCGCGGCTAGCAGTGTGAACTGCGCGGGCTGGCGGGCCAGCGAGCTAAAATCTAAAACTTTATTGATTTCAACATTAAAACCTCATGATACATTTCCTAGCAGTGTGAATTGGACGGGCTGACAGTGTAGCGGGTTAGCAGTGTGAACTGGGCGGGCTGGCGGGCCAACGGGCTCAAATCTGAAACTTTAATTGATTCAACATTAAAACCTCATGATACATTACCTGGCAGTGTGAAGTGGGCGGGCTAACAGCTTGTGGCGGGCTAGCAGTGTGAACTGGGCGGGCTGGCGGGCCAGCGGGCTAAACTTTAAAACTAATTGAATCAACATAAAAAACCTTTACTATACATTTCCTAGCTGTATAAGCTCGCGTGAGCGATCAGTGTAATGTGCTAGCAGTCTAGTGGTCTAAATTCCATACTTAATTATTTTAACACTAAAGCGTTATGATGCATTTGTTAGCAGTGTGAACTCGGCGGGCTAACAATGATTGTTTCATATAGTATACACGATCCTTGAGAGTACACTAAATGGTTTTAAATCCGTATTGATATTTAAGTGATGCATGGTATACAGAAAAAACGATCTTAACTGAAACAGAAAAAAAAAACACTGCAACATAAGATTTTAGTAGTAGGGCAGTCAAATGTAGAACCTCAATGTAGTGAAGCAGAAGATGTCACCAGAGTACATACATAGGTGTATACTTCGTGCAATGACAGAAGCTTGTCCATAAACATAAGGACATCTAGGAATCTGGCGATTTATTTAGAAGCGGATCTGTGGTCTGGTGGTTAAATACATACATTTGTATATATAATCAAGGGGTTTGAGTTCGACCCCCCGCTCCTCCCTAACATTACCAACAGTCCTTTCGGATGAGACTTTAAAGCGAGTCCCGTGTGTATCGGTTGCATTACACCTGACACATAAAAGATCCAGGTATGCTTCTGAAATGGGCCATCTTCTGTACTTCCTGCACTATATTACGAATGTCAAATTGTGAAAAACCACAAAGCGACGGCATACTTATACCGACAGATGTACCATCAGAGTTTCCTCACTATGTCTTATTGCAGCTCTGAGTTCGAGGCTACCATAGTGAATACATGTATTTTCATGTAAGGACGTTAACCAACTAGCTTGCGGAATGTGGGTGTTTATACCAAGAAACTGGTGTCCGCCTGAGCTTGAAAGTTGCTTCCGAAATGGCACCTGGGGTCTGAATTTCGTACAAAAATGGAGGAGAGGTTAACAATCCGTCCAGATGATCAAAAAATGATTGTTTGCATTTTTGGAATGAGTTGCATTTCGTAAAAAAAATCCCACAATTTTAGGATCTTATCCTCAACCATTAGGCCTACTGATTTACGGCAGATTATATCCTAGTGATATATATTCAGAAATTGCAGAAAATGCCGCAAAACTTGGGAATCAATGACAGCAGTATGTTGATTGAGATATTTCATTGTCGCGTATATTTGTCACATTTTTATTTCATAATTATGTTTCGGATAAACCAACAACTTTCATTTCACTACTTTCCATGAACAAAACTAAAAAAAAAATTTTGATATGTGGTGTAACCATGACAACGAGAAGTTATCTAGAGTTCTCTCTATTTCTTTGTCCGTTCAAAGCAGAAAAATTGGATTATGTTATTACTTTCAAACAGATTGAATATATATCACCAGTCTATGACTATTCGGTTTATATAGACGTACATTTGTTAATTTACAATATCAGGAGGTGAGCTGTGTGGTGGGTAGGAAACCAAAGGTGTATCCACACTCGACGTGTTTTGCCATTGACCGTTAGGCACCGGAGACCGTGGGCGATACTAAACTGCTGACGAATTAGCTGACGATATAGAATGTATAGGAAACTGCTGACAAGGATTATCGAAAAACTGCTGACCAGTTAGATAAAGAAGGGAAAACAATGAAGGTGTCAAATTGCCGTTGGTGATATTATAGGCGAGGTCGAGAAATACTTGATAAGATGTTTTTCAAGATGACAATATTACAAATGATAAAATATTTATTATAAAAAAAAATTCAATTGATTATATTTTCTCAATTTCTGTTGATATGATATTTTATTTTAGTACCTTAATGAATTTTCTTCTATGTGTTATATATTGGTTTAAAATTTTAAAATGTAGTCAAAATATGATGTATGAAAAATCATAATTTTTTTCAAGTATGTTATAAAGCTATGCATCATATGTTAACATATATACATGTACATATATGTAATGTACATTTTAACAACATATAATTATTATGTCGTATCACGGATTTTATATATATATATATATATATATATATATTATATATTATAGTATATATATATATATATATATATATATATCCGTGGTCGTATTTAGTACAAATATGAAATAAAGTGATTTCTGTCTGTCTTATTTGTTGTTCGTTTTAAATTGATAAAGTAATATTGAACAAAAATTAATAATGACCTAATTGTTATAGTTAATTAGCTTTTATTACATTATAAACACAATGTTTTCTACAGATATCCATTAAACTGATAATTCATTTTTATATTTTTGAAAATTATCTAACGTTTTATCATGTATTGATTTTCATGTTTGTTCATTCGTTTGAACTAATGTATTATACATAAAAAACTTTGTTGGCTTGTGTATGTATTCAGAAATATTTTTATGTTGCATGTTGTCAGTAAGAATGCATAAGCTTCGGTAAAAATTTCGAAAATTTTCGAAAGGTTTATTAACCTTTATATATACATATACTGTTCCTTAACATTTCTTAAATATTTTTTGAAAAATATCTTTTGCATAATATTTGAGATTGTTATAGTTAGGTTATTGTTTATTTTTTTAATTTTATGGAACTTATTGCAAGCCACGCGAAGCGCAGCATAAGTTTCTATCAAATTTTGAAAAATATAATACGATAACAAACTCACATTTTCTTGTATTTTCTTGTCACGCCGCCCGTATTTGCAAAAAATGAAAAAATCAGAATTTTGATCACAGAGAAGCAACTGTTGCCATCGGCCGCAGAAACTTTTTTATTAATAAAAAGACGACAAAAACTCTTATGGTTGATATTTTATTTTTAACCCTTAATGACGTTTTCGGGAGTTTTCATATAGCATAAAGGCAAAATTAAAACTGTTCAATAGAATTTCTTTAAACTTGGCATGTTGTTAAAATATGATAACAGAAACATTTTTAAGCAAAAAAGAATTTGGGGTCACCGTTCTCGTTTTTGAGTTATATCAATAGGCGCCAACAAGAGCCGGTTGATCAGGTTCCACAATGTTCGGTGTTTGGACACTAGAATCATACTCAGTGGTGGGCAGTAAACAGTGTAGATTCTTGGCAGACGGCGCGAATGCACACCGACTGATGTGGATCTACGATGTTCGCAAAGGCTGAGTTATACTCGGTCAAAGCACTTAAATTAAGTGTTAATGTCTGTAGTTTGTTTCAGCCTGCCGGGATTAGGAGTTTTAAAAATGACTAGATTTTGCTATTAAAACAAAAATGCCAGTTCCATAACCATCCCTGGTTGGTTGAGACCATGGTTTAAATTTAATACGGAATATTTGACAGGAGTGACCCCAGAACAATCTCTGCCCCTGCACTGAGAGTCCGGTATTATTAACTAGTTCGCCACAAGTTTGGCTCGAGTACAAAGGTTTTTGTTTTAATCCTTTTGTAAGTCCATAAATGTGCCTGTTTCTTTGCCATGATGAAAAAAACGCAAACTTCAGTTAATGAATCATGCAACACGCCAGCCCTCCCACTTCACACTTCTTAGAAATGTATCATGAGGTTTTCATATTGTCACACTTCTAAGAAATATATATCATGAGGTTTTCATGTTGATACAATTAAGTATTAAAGTTTAGCCCGCTGGCCCGCCAGCCCGCCCAGTTCCACACTGCTAGTCCGTTACACTGTTAGCCCGCCACTTCAAACTGCCAAGTAATATATCATAACATTTTGTATGTTCAATCAATAAAGTTTTAGATTTTAGCCCGTTGGCCCGCCAGCCCGCCCAGTTC